ACATAAGGATACTATAAATTAATCGCACGGGGTGTCGTGATAATCTTCCTCTTTGTCGTTATAATCGTTTTCGTTAAGCTCCAGATTTTGGTTCTATTCTAAGAAGAATAGAGTACGTATTATGTAATATGAAACAATACAGATGGAGTAACATGAAGAGCCAATATGGGACAAACGAAGCTCCGAAAATTAATGATCCAGTAAATAATATGTTATCCAGATAACTAAATCTGGGAGACAGATTTTGCAAAACATCTACTATGAATTTATCGGTAGAATGTTAACAGAAATATAACAACATGTACTAACATCTGACAGTAGACATAGGGAAGAATTTATCGTTACGAAACATTTAATTTAAATAACACATTTCATTTAAATTACAAAATAATAAATTTTAATCGGTTTCTGCTGACAATTTGCTGACAAAACATATGTCTAGACGCGGTTGATCTCAATCTACTGCGATATTTTATTTGAATCGGCTGGTAAACTGCTAGCACAATAATATTGTTAACTTTTTTGCCTATTGGATATAACACAAAAACGATTTGCAAAGTATATAATAATTATGCATAATAATTATTATAAATTGGCGTGCAAAAAATATTTGCATAAATTACAATGCAAAGAAGAAAATGATGTAAGATTCATTGAAGAGAAAGAAGACAAAGAAAATGATAAAAGATATCATTGTTAAAGAGTTTATTTGAAAATCTGGCTTTATGCAATAGGATATCATAATTATGATTTAATGCGATAATTTAGTGATTGAATTATTATTCTCAATCTTGTATTTTTCTGATTTCTCGATCTGTTTGCCGGTGAAAAATATGCGGAATGATACAAATTTACAAAAAAGTAAAGAGAAATATAAACGTCACTTTTATACAAATCAAATATTAGATCACTTCTTTTAACGTGAGTCCGTGAATTCCGTTTGATAAAGATATGATGTAGAATCCATTGTCATGCAGGATTCCTTTCGCGTATACATTTCAGATATATGTACACCTTTGTACTAGCGAACACTTATCATTTCCGCTTGCTTCGAGAAGTACGAAACAATTGACCCGGTGAGTCAAAGAGATACATAGCGTTCCCAGAATTGTTAAGATATTAATTGCATTTATCTGATCGAATCGTGATTTTATTTCGTTTCAATACAGTTTTCTATATCTTTTATATTTTATATAATTTTTTTATACATAATGTTATATATCTATTTATTTTTATAATTATTTCCAGAATCACGAAAAATTTTCCCTTATAAGTCTTTAATGGCAATCTCGAAAACAATTAAAAAAATACGTAAGGCAGTCTTATTTGCACAATTGTCGCGATATCACTCGAGAGGATCGTGTAGCATTAATTATTTATCATGTAATGTTCATAATTAGGCGGAGGGGAAGGTAATCGTTATGAGTTTTGTATTTGTGCTTTTGAAATATGATATGTGAAACAAAAATTATAATAAATTATAATAGATAAAACGAAATTAAAACAATATTATACAAGAAACGTGTAAAGTGATGTCAAATTTTTATTCTTTAACTTATTACTTACTTATTTTTGCAATTATTAATCGTAATTTATGGTATTTTTAGCAAAAAAATGCTGAAAATATACGCAACTTACACCGTACAATTATATTGTCATAATTTTATTAAATTTCTTCATTTTTTTGTGCTGTCATGTGAGCGATTACATATAATTATAATATTGTAACACAGTTGATATAAAAAAACCGTAAAAGACTAATAAAAATTCCATGATAAAAAATTCTTTGCATCTTCCAGCTTTTATTATAATCAGATGCGTCAAAAATAGACCGCTAATTTTATATTTTCGAAAAAAGCACGAGACATGTGTATGGCATTTGCAACAATTATGAGTGCAATCTAAAAATATAAATGTAATATATGACAATTACCAATTAATTCTAAAGTGAACAGTTCGAATTTCGAGTACGATGTTTTACCGATAAAATGCAACACATCGATATATCTTTATACTACTACATCAATATCTCACGTACACATATTTTCATAAATTTTTTTTTAGAAAGATAGACGTCTAAGTCTAGTTCTAGACTTCACGTTGTTTATTCATGTAAACTACTAGTCTATGGACCACAATTTCGTACAGATTTAGAATTCCTTTAAAGCAATGTCGTGTTTATAACAGTATATAATTTATTAACACGTTAACCGCCAATTAATGATCATCTAACGCCTAATTTTTAAGTGATATCCCGTGCTGATTACGTTTTTAAAATTTTTTTAAAGACATTTGTAAAAAAAATACTATTTAAAGGAATCTAAAGTCGTCTGTTTTACTAACTAAATGCAATAATTTTTGTATAACAATTTTTTTTCTCTTTTAAAGAAATTCGAAAATCTTTTTCCAAAATTAAACTATACGCATTACTTCATATTATACGTGTCTGTGAAGTAGAATTTATGTCAGGAACGAAAAAAATTGTTTAAATTGAGATCTACTTTAGTATTTCTTAGTCCAATATGGCATCAGAGTATGAATACCGTAATTTAACATTTGATTGATATAAAAAGCTTTACAATAATCTGTGTTATGAAATTGTGATCCATAAACTAGTAGTTTACACGAACAAACAATGTGGAGTTCTTAGAATTAGATTTAGACGTCTAATTAAGACGCTATTGTTGTAAAAAGTTTATGTATATGTGTGCGTGAGATATTGATGCAATAGTATATATATGAAGATATGTGATGATCGCATTTTATCGATAAAAACAGCGATCTTGTTGGAAGTCTGACTTCACTTTAGGATTCCCTACTTAATTTACTACTTATTTATCTTTGCAATTATTATTGGTGTTTTCAGTAAAAAAATGCTGGAAATATGCATAACTTACATCGTAAATTATATCATCATAATACGATTTAATTTCTTCATTTTTATTTCGCGCTGTCACGTGAGCTATTTATGTACAATTATAACATTACATCACAGAGCGCTGATAAAAAAAAACCGTAAAAAACCTATAAAAATTAACCATGATAAAAAATTCTTTGCAATCTTTTGTTCAGAGGCACCAAGAATAGACCGCTAATTTTACATCCTCAAAAAAAGCACGAAACATACATATGTACGGCATATGTAATAATTATGAATGCAATCTAACAACATAAAAATATATAATAAATGACAGTTACCAATTAAAGCAACATCGTGTTTATAACAGTATTTATTAACACGTAAACCGCCGTAATTATCACCTAACGCCTGATTCAGTTACTTTAATGATCATTGCAATAGTAACGGCTATTGAAATTAAAAAAAACGCTTGTAAAAAGAAATACCATTTAATATAATCATTTGAGTGACAAACGATTAGATAAATGTAAGTAAAAAGTACAAATTGTAAGATGTAATGTAAAGTCATACTATCCACGAGAATAAAGTCTTACTTAATTATATCATTATTTCATCTTTAAACATTTTAAGAATTTGTGATAAAAATTTCACTGTAACAGTAAATTACACAAAAATTTTTCGACATGTTAAAGTTATTTGCCATTGACGGAAAATAAAATTTGACGGCGAATGTATGTCCTTCTTCGCTGATTAATTCCATCATCCGCGTATTAATAACGATTGTACACAGTTGCATGAAATAAATGAATTAAATGGAATTCTGCAGGTATTATTTACATATTTTATACATAATCGATTCTAATTGATACGACTATGTCATTTCCGCATACGTAATTTATCTTATTCATCAGGAAACATTTATTTTCGCGTGTGCATAAGTTTTGCGCAGTAAGCGCGCAGTTCTAATTACCCCCAAATGCAATTCTGAGAATTTTTATTAACATAAAGCGATTTTTGGTGTGCTTCTGGTATAGCAACCAAAAGCAACCGCGGTTGGGGCTATCTTTGTCTTCTGATCCTTGAAAACGAAGATAGCCTCAATCGCGGTTGCTTTTGGTTGTTATACCAGAAGCACGCCAAAATTCGCCTATAATAACAATAGTATATAATTTAACTAATGTACCCATTTGGTGCGTCTGATTTTTTATTACGATGTACTTGAACTGATCTAACAATAATGGAGAATAATACTGCAGGATACCATTGGCTGTTGCGAACTCGGGATTATCTGCATGCAATTCTACAAACTGAATATTAAAACATTCTCTGTTTGTATCTTTACAAAGCCATTGCCATTAAATGTGTAATGACATTTCGTTGCACTTGTCAAAAGATCTTACAATAAAATCGTAAGAGCTTTCACGTGGAATAACTTAATGCAAATTGTTTCCATGACGTGTCTTGCTTGAGATCGATTCTGCGATAAATCCGTTCGACAACACGAGTCATTAGATTGGATAATAAATGGAAAAGGAGATTTTAAATATGCTTAATCCTTGACGCAAGTCAACGCGAAGGTTTTCTATTTCTTGTAATGCAATATTTATAAAATATCGGACAAATTGTACACTAGAGGATGAAAATAATTCGAAGTATAAACTACGAACTTTAAAATTATGCGTTTATTCTATAGGTGGACTTTCATAAATGTGGAATTAAACTTTCATCCCAAAACTGTTGATTTTCAGATTCATCCAGTACTCTTCTAAAATAAAAGTTGAATGAAGTTAATAATTGTATAATTTACTCAGAAATATATACACAATTATAATAATAAAATCACAAGTATTACACAGTAGTTTATTAATTACATTATAAATACCAATGAGAAATACTGTTTCGAATTTGCTAATGTTTTATCGTTATTTTATGACAAATTGATAAATTCTTAGCAATTTAAGAATCTGTCCAACACTAAATAATCTCTAAATTATATCTAGTGAACAATGTTTTCTTATAACATGGAAGAGATCCAAGGAGATAGACATTTGTACTATTCATTGTTGAAAACATAAGAATTTATATCTCTTTTGTATAATATCCCTGTTAGATTAATTCACTAACTAAAACCCAACAAAAGTGTAAATAATATCATGTTTATTAATCAATTGTAATATAATCAATTGTAATGTCTTATTCGCCCAGCGTATAATATGAATCCCTGAAAAATTAATTTTATATATTACTAAATCTTAAAATACCGTAAGAGAGTTTCATTTAGATGAAACAAAATAAAAGTAAAAAAAAATTATTATAAAAGAAAAAAAGACGAACTCTCTTAAAACTGTTTGAAAATCTAAAAAATTGACCTATTAATATTTATTATACATATTTGTTATTTACCTATAATTATATACTAATCTTCGTTTTTTCCTATAAATTATTGTCGCCACTACTGAGATTCCTATTAATGTAGTGGTTATGATAACTGCAACTAAACAAAAATATTATTAAGATCTTAAAAAATCTAGATTTTTGTTAAAAGAATAATTATAAATTTAGTAATTATTAAAGGAGATACTTACTGAACATTTTATATGTAGATATTGATACATCTTTCGATTGTGTCCTAAGGCACTTTGTTATGTGAGATAAAGTACCATTAACTATGGGGCAATTCAAATTGAGTATTTTACAAAACAAGGGAAATAGATCCGTATTGTTAAACGGCTCTAATTTACATCTTGGCATAAAAGCAGGTCCATTCGCAAAGAAGAATGGATGCATTTCTTTAGCTTCATTATTATAACCATGCAGCCCAAATTCTGTCCGATTGTCCACTGAATAGGAAATATGAGTCAACGTTAAAAATTATATATATATATATATATAATAAATATATGGACAATATAAAATTACCTGTGATATTAAATTTTTGTTTATAAAATTCTATAGCATCATAAAGGTTTTGAAATGCGTATCCAACTTCAGCTATGACAAAAATGGGTCCCACACGAGTATTATTGCCATAATGATACTTTTTCGGGATATCTTCTCTTCTATATATTTTGAATGTTTTCGTTTGATCTGCGGCAAACTTCAAATTCTGATAAATAATCTCTTCTTTAGTCAAATTTATTATTCTTTCCATCGTAACCGATGCCATACCATGATCGCTTAAGTGAATCACATTAAGGGCATCTGCCAAGCCGTAATGATCAATTTTATTGTGCATATATTTGGTAATATTATCCAATTTTTGGAGAATTTCATTAAATTCAGGACTGTTTATTCCTATGGCGTGACCATGATAATCTGGGTCCTCGATATACAATATCCCTAAGTTTATTGGATTTGTAGGATGTACAAACCACGATAATAATTCATCAATCCGCTTCTCCCATGGAATTGTATCATTAAAAGCCTAAAAAAGTTAACATAATTGATACACATTCTAAATATGTTATTCCATATATTAATCCAATACACACTTGTGCGAAAGTAGGTAATGTTCCTTGATATTCGAACACAGAGCCCGGCCACATCATTGTGCCACTATGTCTGCCACTTTTTTCGTTAACAGTCTGAAATAATATGTTTATGAAATATAAAATATACTTGACATATATCCAAAATATAATTATCATCCTGTTACATACCCAAATAGGTAAGATATTGTTGTTGTAATGATATAACTCGTATGAATACTTAGTAGTATTATTTTTGCTAGAATCAAAAAATTCATTATCTACAACCCCATGTGTTTCTGCATAAAATCCCGTTGCCATCGTGTGATGATTTGGAAAGGTCTTAGTGACAAAAATGTTTATCATGTAATCAGTGGAAGTACCCTGCGCCTTTAGCTGGCTCATGAACGGTGTCAGCTTTCTCTCGAAGTAATCATATCTGTACAAAAGAAAATGATACAAAATAAAACCTCGGATGTATCTTCCTTTTCTTTATTCTTTCACACTTTAATATATTTATGTCACTGATATAAAGCAAACTCCCATGTGGTAAATTATATGCCATCCAATATAAAACATAAAAAAATATGAACCAAATATGAGTATTAATAAATAAATACCAGGGTTGGGTAGTGTTAAGTTAAAAAGATAAAAGTTAAGTTAAAAAGTTAAAAAGTTAATTAATTTTAACTTAACTTAGTTACATTTTAGACTTTTAACTTTTTAACTTAATTTAATTACATTTTATCAGTAACTATTAACTTTTAATTTGATTTTTTTTAAGACAATCCTCAGACACAATGCAAGAGGATAATGAGTATATAATTTAGTAATTTTATATTGTATAATCGTTACTTGTGAACAAAAATAACCAGATTCTTTAATAAATATGATGTGAGAAAGGAAAAATACAAAAAATTATGTAAAATTGTCAAACTTTTTCTTTTTTTTTATTGTTCATCAGACCAAATTTAACTTTAAACTTTCTAGTTACTTTTTTTTTTAACTTTTAATTCAATTAATTTCATTATGGATCAACTTGTATATATATATATATTTTAATTAAATTAAATTTTCAAGGCTATTAACTTTAACTTGACTTAGTTAAAAAAAAAGTTAACTTACCCAACCCTAATAAATACTGATATGTGTAATATAGAATATAAAAAATAAACTATAATATAAAAAATAATATAGAATATAAACAAATAAATATAACACTTTTGGTTGTCCTGTAAAATCTTACATGAAAAGTTTTGCTGAAAAAATGTAATTAGATACAAATTTATAATACTTGTGAGACTTCTACTTTCTATAGAAACTATATGTTTCACAACTTATTTCTGTGTCCATATTGTACATTCTTGAAATGTCAAAACATTCCAAGAATGGATGTGGACACAGAGATAACTCATGAAACATATAGTTCCAGTATACATATAGATTATGATAAAAGTAACTACGTGGACCGCTTAAATATTTATATTCGACACTCAAGCTGTGTGTGTGTGTGTGTGTGTGTGTGGTTACTAATTAGTTAAAATTGCAACATTATCATGCTTGAGCATTCTACAGAATTATTTTGATAATCCAATATAATTATTATCAGATCCGTCTGGCTTAATTTTTATATACTTCAGAAAAAAAGCTCTTTTCATGTAAAAATAATTTTTATGAATCTTATGCATTTCATCTTTATGTTGTTACCACGAATATCCTCGCACCTGAACGCATCGTAGGAGACGATGAGTAGTTTTGGAACTTCTGGCACGGGAGTCGCCCAGGCGTTCAGCAAGAGAAACAGCGAAACAAATGGGGCTGCAGAGATCATGGTGACGCAACCACGGCGATTCTCGAGAACATGGGAAGGTGCAAATTATCATCCCATAATCGCGAAAACGATCAGGAAGGCACCGCTCATGGCTGCATTTATAACCTATCGGATATATCGGACGACGCCGAGCCAAATGCGCGGTGCGCCAAGTGTTGCCAAGTGTGCTCCAATTTTCGCAAGCAGCGTAAACTGGCGTGAACTGCGTGAAACTGGTCGCTGCCACCGCCGCGCAGCGGACCGTCCCATGACTAAAAAAAAAAAATCTGTCTCCTAGCTGCACCATCTTACATCTCGTGCACTGTTGTTGTGCAGTCAAAACGAGATGGCGGAGTGGAGGGATATTAGGATTATCAGTTGCTCGAGAGATAAAGAGAACGAGCGACAGCGAGCGAGAGATGAAAAGTAGAAGAATCCAACTGTACAGGTGAAATATTTATGTATGAAATTAATCTTATATTCACATATATTGCAAATTTATGTGAAATTTTAGCTGCATTTAAAAAACTCTTGTGGAGGCCTTTCAAAGAGCAAAATAGTGGAATTTGCTATGAACGTATCTGCAATCGCTGAAACTTTTTACACAGATACACACACTAAGGCTCGTTTCTACCAACGCAGTTTAAAGAGTTAATCTCTAGTCATTTGGTTTAACCAAAGTTTTGCAAAATATTGATTTTAACCAACGATTTGTTCAAGTTTAAACTTGTGTAAACTGAGTTCAATTTAAACGGCCGGTTTTCATCGTTTAGGCTCTTTAATTATCAGGTTAAAAATGTAACTAGCTAATCTGATACAAGAAAGTTCTCTTAACCTATATTTTTCAGATATGACAAATTTATTTAATTTTGTGCTGTCATCCTCCGATGATGAAAATAATGATGAAGAACAACACAGAAGACAAAGGAAATTTAAACAATGTATAAATTATTTTGACGTATTAGATGACGTAGAATTTAAAATGTGATTTTGATTAAACAAACAATCAGTATTATTAATATTAGAAGAAATAAGAGAAGAGTTAGAATTTGTTACTAACCGGTATGTTAAAATTATTGTATAATTAAATTTTTAAGCATTAAAAAAACGAATATATATACGAGATCATTTATAGGAATAATGCAATATCTTCTATGGAACAATTATCAACAATTTCGACATTCACCAGAAGATTACTATTAAATGAGTGTTCTATAACTTTCCAACATTTTTCTTTGTCTTTTGACGTTACCGAATCAGATTTCTTATTTTCAAGAATGTCTTTATATTGTTGTACTAAATTTATTAACATCATTTTCTCTGCTTCGGAGAAATTCTGAGCACGTTTACGTTGTGGTTTATTTGCTATCTTTCCTTCATTCATCATGTTATTTGATGCTTATTATAACACTACGGAGACAATAAGAGAAAATATAAATTTTGAAGTTGCATCATATGTTAGAACAAACGCTGAATCAATCAGTATTCAAGATTCTCTTAGATTTCCTAAAGTTATGTCGCACAAGTTATAAGTTTAGTTAAACGTTCTAGATGGAATGTTTGTAGAAACCAATCAATATTAAACTGAGAGTTAATCTTAACCGAAGTTTCACTAAACTGCAGTTAAGACCAAAATTGGTAGAAACAGCCCTAAGAAGGCCCATTCCACAATTCATGGTTAACTCTTAACCGAGGTTTAACATGTTTCTCATCTCTTTCCAATTCTAGAATTAGAAAAAGACAATGAATAGGTTGAACCTCGGTTAAGAGTTAACTGTGAGTTGTGGAACTGAGCCTTAGGACGGAATCAGACTACGCATTGAAGATGGAGATTGAAGATTGAAGATTAAAATTTGACCAGTGAGGACAAAGGAATTTTAGCTCCTATTGTTTTGATTGGTCAAATTTCAATCTTTCAATCGTCAATGCCTAGTCTGATTCCAGCCTTAGTCCCGGGGATCGATTCTATATCTTGAAATGAGGTGAAAATTATAAAAGTGAGCAAATTTACTAGAATATTGATAATTTCATTGGTACCTTCACCTAGTAAATTTGCTCACTTTTGTCATTTTCACTTTGTTTGAAGATACAGAATAGATCCCCCGGTCTCACCAACTCCGATTAAGCTAATCGATCGATTAAATTTCAGTATTGCCAATTGCAAGAAAAAAATTGCACTGAAAACATAATCTAATTTTCTAGCAATTGTGAAGAACGATGTGATAATAACAGCACAAATCTATATTAATGGCAAATTTCTCAAATGCGAAAAAGCCATGCGAGTCGAGCGCGTGAGTACTCGACGTCCCGCCAGAAAAAGGATATTTTCAAGTCTTGCAGTTGACAATAGACCTGTTCTTTTTGGTTGAACTTTTGCATCAGTTCATCTTTCTTCCTCTTCTTTCCTCCTGGAGAGAAAAGGAGAAAGATAAACTAGTGCAAAAGTTCAGTCAAAAAGAACAGGCCTATCAATGGCTACGTTTACACCGTGCATTTAGGCCGCGGCCTATACAATAGGTGTCTTTGTTTATCCTGTATATTAATTGGAGTTGGTGAGACCGGGCCCCTACACACACAAATCTATTTCTCATAGTTAAGGCCCTGGCACACAAAAAAACTTAAAGCAGTAAGGAAATCAACATGTTGGATTCGCTACTATTTATATTATGGCCTTACGGACTCTACTGCGATTGGCCAATTCGCTTACTGTTTACGTTTTACTGCTTAAGTTTTCTTGTGTGCCATGGCCCTTATGTTGGCTGTGTTCTAATGCGTGGTCTACAATGGGCAGTAGCAGTAGTGGATTAAGGAGTAGACGCAGAAATCAACCAATCATAATCGAATGTGAGAAAGATAATCAACTGATTAGTCGATTTCTGCACCTACTCCTTAATTCACTACTGCTACTGCCCATTGTAGACCACGCATTAAATTGACTGCCAGTACTGAAAATTTATAGTGCACGTAACGTAAACTGTAGCATTTTCAGTGCTGGCAGTAAATTTGGAACATACATAGTTATTCTAATGCGTGGTCTACAATGGGCAGTAACAGTAGTGGATTAAGGAGTAGACGCAGAAATCAACCAATCATAATCGAATGTGAGAAAGATAATCAATATGATTAGTAGATTTCTGCACCTACTCCTTAATTCACTACTGCTACTGCCCATTGTAGACCACGCATAACATAGCATACATAATTATATCTAACATAACAGCCATAGTTATATCTTGTTGCATTTTCTATATTCAGAACGAAGTAGTTAGTAATTAATTAAGAGATATAAAGAAAAAGAAAAGAGAGAGGAGTAAAATAACCACAGAAAAGACCTCACGATTTTACAATTTTAGACAATTACGTGAAAACTTGACTGCATAGAATATCAATGGAATGTTGCACATTAGATGAGTCATGTGGACCTTATCTCCAACGAAAATATATTCACTGATATCCTGTAGTGAAGTGTAAAGTAAGGTTTTGAAAAATTAAAATCGTTTATTCATATACATGTCATGTTTATCACAATTGTGTAATTAATATCATTGTTGCACAGATAGATCATAAGATTATAATGAAGATATAGCATATAGAAGAGAAAACATTGACAGAAACGAAGGAAGTTGACATGGATATTCAAACGTTTGTATTTTTTGATTTGGAAACAACTGGGCTGATCCAGGGGAATATCGTACCAAGAATTACAGAAATTGCTTTAGTCGCCGTCTCAAAAGAATCATTACGTAATGGTAACAAAAATTGCCTGCCAAGAATTTTACATAAATTGGTACTTCCAGTTAATCCGCAAAAAGTTATACCAGTAAAAGTGCAGAACATGACAAGTGAGTTATTTTATTAGTTTAATGACAAATTCAGTCACTAATATTACATTAAACATGATAAAATATCTAAATACAGTGGCATCATTTTGACAATAAAATAATACATCATGTTTAATGTAATATTAGTCATTCTATATTATAGAATGACTGTCCCCCTATTAATGCACCTTCAAGCCATTTACCTATTATTAAATTAATTATTAAATATTGTAGCTTCAATTTTATCTGCTTGAAATCAATATTGATTTTTCAACTTTTTTTTTCTTATAATATTTCTTTATTCTAAAAAAATGTTAATATTTTATGTCTTTGATAAAAATAAAAAAACATGTTTTTGTGGATTTTCCAAGTAGTGATGGTCCTATTAATGTGCCCTCAATTTGTGTGCCTATCCGCACATTTTAACTTCACTCATTTTAACATATAGTTCCTAAAACAAATAATAAATATAGGCTAGTTATTTAAGTTAATATCACATAAATCATTATTTCAGTTATATTTATTTCAATATATGTTATGATACAATGCTCTCAGTTCCAATACAGGGCACACTAATAGGGACAAGCTTAAAATCTTGCAGTACATATTACTAGATTTACATAAATTCCTCATATCTTTTGAAAAAAATATTTAAAATACTTTAATAGTTAAAAAAATAAAATATTTTTATTGTATACATTAATAGTTTATAACTAATAAAAAAATACTTTTTCTTATTTATTTTGTGCTTCTAGTTGTCTTTATGGCTTATTTAAACACAAAAGCATACTAATAGGGATAGACACAGTAATAGGCATAGTTACTCTGTTAAATAATTTGACAATATATCATTATTGGTTATTTAATTGTTTAAAATATTCAAATGCTTTTATATTTAACTTTGCTAATTTAATGCAAGTGCTAAATTTGCTATATATTAATTAATGTGAACAAAAATGGAGAAGAATTCAAATTGTAAGTGGCTCGGTCCACAGTTATTTATTGCTATTAATATCCCTGCAATTATGATAGTTAATATTGTAATAATTTTATATAATTGCAGAACTGTATAATGAAGATATGCAGGTACTGCAGCCTTTCGAAAGTGAACTTTATGAATTAATAATATACTTTTTACAACGTCTCACACCGCCAATTTGTTTCGTAGCGCATAATGGCAATAAATTTGATTATCCGATATTCTTAGAGGAACTCAAACGTATCAATAAGGTAATAAATGATTTACATAACAATTAGTCCTTTCATGATCTTTTATTACATTTAATAATAATCACCCTTTTCCCCATTAAAGATACTTAGTGACGAAATCCTCTGCATTGATACATGGAAAATGTTCGACGATTTCTTTAAGAAAAAAAACTTGCAACCTACACTATTTCAAGATTTGTTGAACGATGAGTTCAATGACTCGCTCTCCACGTTGGATATGGACGTGGTGACAGAGGAAGAACCCAAAATTATTGCGACGACATCCACCGCGCAAACAATGTTTCTCTGTGACGATAAATATATCAAAGCTATAAATAAAAAAGTAGATAACTGTAACAATGATGTTGATGTCCAATCGTCGAAGAATTTTATACAACAGGTGAACGAAAAAACACCAAAGGCTCAAAAAACGAAGCTGGAAAATAGCTTTGTGCAGCGACCAGTCAAGAAAAACAATTTGGTAAAGAGATTGAATTTTGAGTTTGAGGGGCCAAGTAGCTTAAAACTTATTGCCATTCATGAGCATATGATCGGTAAAGACTTCGAAGATCATCATACAGCTGAGGCAGACTGTCTTGCTATGATACGCTGCGTCAGCAATATTGCTGATTTCTTCCTTGATTGGTCAAAAGATCATGCAATTCCGTTGACTTGCTGTAAAAAAAAAAATAAAAACAATGTATATTAATTGATAACAAATAGCATGAAAAATATAGTGTAAAATAAAATAAATACATATAATGTAATGTAAAATAAATACGTGTGATTATCGTGAAGTAAGGTACAAGGCTAGTGTGTGAAATTTAAAATAATATTAAGTATATTCCTTCCTCCATATTGGCAATTGTATTAAAAGTGAGAAATTATTTCATAATTCGACATGGCTAATATGGCATGAAGGAAGAGTGCCTTAATTTTATTCACAAACGTAAATTAATTATTAAATCGAAAATGTTTATTCTTAAAAATATGAATTTAAAAGAAATTCGTTGAAATGTATTACCTAGCTGCAATTGATTTTAAAAATTACGATTCTATGTATGAGTATGACTGATTAATGAAAAAAGATGAAAGACTTGTTCATAATTGAACAAGTTTATAACAAAAATATAGTGATGAATTTCTTATAGGGGAAAGTGGGGAACTGTGCGCAGCGCGTAATTGTGCGTATCCTGGTTTGGTACTTTTCCAATAGATGAACATCACCGTGGTGAAATTTTTATGCAGGAGGTCGTCCTCTTAAGATATAACTACAAAAGGTACGACGTAAATATGTTGCTAACCAGAGAAATACAAAAAGGTGAAATCACATCTTTTCTTGTTATTTTAGCATTCAGAAAATAAGGTAGTAAGTCCATATTTTTAATTTGTTTGTTTAAAGTTGCATATGTTATTAAAGTACGTTATTATGTGCGTCTTTTAAACTGTAATTTATTAAGTTTGATTAGGAAGTGTTGAAGTAATCGTATTTCATATCAAGTCAGGTCGCGGCGGGCAACTGTGCGCAAACGTTTTGAAATGCACACAATTACCCATCTTCCATATATTATATAACTAGTACTAATTTTCTCGTTTCTTCTTTGCATTATTATTTTATTTTGCCATTTTATTTTGCCAAAGTCTATGTGCATTATTATTATTATATTGGTTTTATATTTTTACTTAATATATATAATATATATTCAAAATATATTTATATTGCAATATAATAAATATATTTTCTGATTTCTTTATCAACATCCATAATTCATTCATTCTTTTCCTACGACTTTTGCTTTGCGCACAATTACCCGACGCGCAAGAAAGTTTTTCGCTTTTCCGGTTTTTCCTTTTTGCCAAATACAATTTTATTTAATGAAAATCTATTCAATATCAGGATACGTAATGGTAGAAGAATGTTTATAGTATCTATTTCCATACTTAGATCGCTTTAAACTTGGAAAACCATTCCAAGACAATAAATTTCCCTTAGGTGCACAATTCACCCACTTTTCCCTAATATGAAGAAATCACTCATATTTTTCATGTATTCTTTATAAATGTTACATATAAAAATTAATTAAGATAATATTAATTCCGTCTGTATATAGCAGCGTCCTATTTACAATAACACACGGTCTAATTTGACGAAGCATGCTTTTTAACTTAATTACTATCTACAGTTTTTTGCTTACTCATTTATATAGCATATATGCAAATTTTAATATCCCTTTTACTTTTTGCAACACTTGTAATCTACTCTGTAAGTTGCAAAAAGCTTCTTATTTTGCTGTTTACTTATAGATTTGGAAAGCTTATTTAAGTTTTTTTATATAGACAAAAATAAATGAAAAATGTAAAAAATAAATATAATAATATTATAAATATTTATGCAATAAATTAATTATTTTATCGATTGAAATGTGTATATTTTTAACATATCATTCCTTGGAAAACGAAACAAACAATGTTAAATTGATCAAATAATTATCACAATTGAAAAAATCTTTTACAATTTTTGTATCTACAATTTTTTTGTACAAATGGAGTTTCATGTAAAAGTTTATTCTTCTTTACTTCTTACACCTATATCTATATGTAATACTTACAATTTTCAGGTTCGGGTTCCGGTGTCGGTATAGTTACATATTTATCAATCCTTTTAATCCTGTTTAATTCGTCAATATTTACTACAACCAAAAATTCAAGTGAAATATAATATTATAACATTAATTTTTATATTTTAATATGTAAATAAGCATCAAAAGTGGCTAAAATTTTCTAGTTGAACACATATATGTATCAATTTATATCTATTTATATTCGAAGCGTGAAAAAAGCGTAAGTACTCACAAACCCATTTAGCTATCGCATAACCATCATTTTGTATGTCCTTCCTAATACTTTTTAAAACATTATCTAATCTGCCTTTCATATTCCTCATTTCCTCAGGTCCGATATTGTCCAACAAATTAAGATCGTCATCCCAATAGTACCTTATCTCTTTATTGCGGAAAGCATCGCGAAGCTTTTCTAACATCTATAAATATTATTTCTACTTTATCATATTATCTTAATAAAAGAAAAAACTAGATTTAATTTTAATTTTAGCAATACCGTGAAGAATAAGAAAGTATATGAATTTCTATTAGAAATATAAAATATTTCTTTTTCATGGTAACACAATGTTTCGAGATAATAACTTGCGATGCTCTTCCATCCTTGAGTATCCCTAAGTTTCTAATAAAGGACATATATTATATATATAAAATTATGTAAAATAAATTATATAAAATATGTTATTACAATAAAAATAAAATAAAAATTAATATTACAAATAAATAAAAAAGTTTAATGTGCCCTAATTAATTCATCGAAAAAGATAAAAATAGAGTTAAATTACACAGGGGATACCTGCAATGTTAAGTATGAAAGATAAACTAAAAGCTTATTCATACTATTACAAATAAATAGATATTTATTATTCCACAATGTTGTACCTTCAATTGTCGTATTACAGGCTTCATACGCCCATAATCATGGCTAGAAATCATGTTTTTTTCAAACTCGTAAAAACACAATCGCCAATAGCGATGTCGTAGATCAGCAAAAATACCTTTACTATTTTTTAATGGTTTTGGAACTGCAGACCAACATCTACCTAAATAAGACTATAAAATAGGAAGCGATTATTAGAAATATATATGCTGTTTAATTATTAAATTGCTGTAAATAGTTAGTTTTGCTCCATTAAGTTCTGTTTTAAATAATATTATTATAACATAGTACAATATTGAGTTTAACAAATACATTGTTAATTCAAACAAAGGTTAATTGAGTTTAAGTATTTTAACGAAAAAGATTGAAGAAAACTTCATACAACCCTGGTGAAAAGTTTCGCTGAAATTATTTTACGTTTTGGAACATTTCAATGAAATTGCTGAAAATTTGTTGAAACTTCACTAAAAGTGAATTTTTCAGCTAATATACTGAAAAATCATTGAAATCCAACCAAAATTTTTCTGAAATTTTCTGAAATTTCTCTGAAATTCTTGCTGAAATTTGTCTGAAAATTTTACTGAAATTTTTCTGAAATTTTGTCGAAAATGAATTTTTCAGCTAAAAATCGCTGAAATTAAATTGAAATTTTTTTGAAATGTTAAAATTTTGTTGAAAAGTATCCCGAAACGTGAAATAATTTCAGCAACATTTTTCCATTAGGGAACATAAAAGCTTCCAACAACATTGCTGCAATATTCACAGTTATTACAATATTACTGAAATGTTGCAAAGTTGCTGGAATAATCTGTGCTGTAGGACTAAATTAAAATAATCAAAATATAGTTAAATATAATGCGAATATATTTCGGCTAATTTTAAGAAAAATTACTTTTCACCGATAACGATATCGTGAATTACAATGAAAACCGTTTCGATGGTTCTTTAAAGGAATTGTAGATCAACATCTATTTGAATAAAACTGCAAAACGTAAAACGATTAAGACGATATATTTAACTATATAGATATATAATAACTATAATTAACTATAATATAATTAACTATTGAACTGTTGCAAACAATTGTCGTTTTCTCTATTAAAATCTGTTTTAAGTAAAATTATTGTAATATTATGTTCGAATTCTTTAGGATTGAAAAAATTAAATTAAAAAATACAACATTGAAAAAATTAAATTAGGAAATATAACATAAGTAAATAATATATAGCTATAATTTTTTAAATTATACTGAAAAAAATTATTTTCTAAATACTATAATTTTTATTATTTGTACGTAATACACAAATAAATATGTACTACATATGTACAACAAATCTTTTGCTTCAATTCAATCCGGTATTATAACTTTTATAATTATATACGTACTTGTAATAGATCCTTTCTTGAAGATTTTATTGGTGGCAAAGTTTGAGTCGAAAAAACTAAAACAGGAACTACATCGATGTCGATGTCTCTTTCAGAATAAGAAGGTTTGAATATTAATGTAAATGCTGGTCCCGTCTTTTTTAGCCTTATCTAAACACAGAAAAGGTGTATGATATTTAGTTAATTATATTGATCGGCTTTAGCTTCTCTATTTTATGACGATATTTTATCACAATATATAATCCAGCAAACATTAAATATAAATACATTATAACGTAGATGTAATATAACAGATGTTACACTCTATTTATACTAGAGTAAGACCGTTTAAGACCGGTATATATATAGCTCTTATATTAAAGATCGTCTTAAGTTCAGTCTTGAGATGTCACGAACCAATCAGAGGGCCGTATTAGCGTCTTATGACATTACTTAAGAATCAATTATGAATACCGGCTTATGAGTGCGTATCGTTCAAGAGTTCGCTTTACGATGCAAATATATTAAATTGTAATAAAGAGCTGTATTTCACACAGAATGTGTCTTTTTTTGATTTGTCAATTTACTATGTATAAAAAATCGTTGTGAACATTGCAGCGATAAAGGTGATATCTTAAATTTTATGATTTTGACTGTTTTCTTGTTATATTTTTCATGGTTAAATTGATCGATCTTTTTACAGAAGAAAATGTAACGTCGTTATCTATTCGTTACCGAAAAAAGTAACTTGTAACGGTAACCGATGTATTACAATAAAGGTAAATTTTCACGAGCTGCTTAAACAGGTTGTTTCAGCAAAAAGGATTTTTCATAATTATACTGTGCAAAAGTGCTTTCATCCCAGATAACATGCATGTTGCATAAGATATCTAAAAGACATCTTTTAGATATCTTTTAGATATAAGATAGCTAAAAGACATCTTTTGCAACATAAATGTTATCTGGGATGTTGCGTTTGTTCTTTTGAAGAAATTAAAATTTGATAGCAGATACATTTCTTATCGTTCAGTTAAAATGTAGAAAAATATAGATGAATATAGAACAAAAATTAATAATTTGGTAATTAAATACATATGTCATTACGCAATACATATAATAAGTAGAGGAAGGTCACCGATACTGACATATAGGTCTCCTAAAGCGACATCCCCTTATTTCTTAGAAACTAACCTTTGCACCTTACTAATACTAATAAAAACGTGATCTGTTTAGCTAATTAAAGAAGTACAAACTCATAATTCATATATTTGTGGCTTATTTCTATACCAAATCAGCTAAAAACAAATTCTATGTATCTGAGAAGAAAATTCTTACGGTGTTCTTTTGCAAATTGCGTAATTAAAATAATAGTGACTATTATTATTGATAATATTATGTTATTTTAAATGTTTATAGTTTCATAAATTAGTTTTCTTTATTGAATAGGATATATCTTTATTTATAGAATAGGAATGTTGGCATTATATTGCCTACTATGTTAGTTTTGGAGCCCATTTTGTCAGACGCTCATTTTTGCATAACTTACGAAAAATTTAATTATTGCAAAATTGCAAACAGTATTATAAAAACTGCTTACTATCTGATAGAAAACACTTTTTAGTTTGTATTTATGTTTTTGAAGTTGTATTTTTACCTTTTGTTTAAGAAATATTGTCTAAAAACAAAGTGGTATGTCGGTGATCTTCCTCTATATCAAACTTATAAAATGTTAGCTTAGTATATTAATATTAATCTACAATTCTGATCAATTTTATTACTAAATTATCGATAACCATACTCAAACTATAATTGTTAATACTTTACTTACTGGCGGATGATCACCCAATATAATTCTGTTTCTATTAGTATCAGTAGCGTTGATCACTTTACTAAAAATTCCTTCCATCCATGTACTGAATTTTTCTTGGTTCAGATACGATTGATCATCGATGAAGGAATTTAATTCTCTGAACAAAAAAAAGATTTCTTTTCTTTCATTTTATAAATTATTGTATATTGAATAGATTTCTATTAAATATTAAACATGTTTACTTATATGCTTTCGAATCTATATTTAAAGTATTCTGTGAGTTTTCGTCTCTTCCAGCAATGCGTATTTTAATGAAACCAGGTCGATCTGTGCTAATAAACTGAAATATAATTAATAAATATTAATTATAATAATTAATTATGAATATCAAGGGTTTTGTTTTTTTTTGTTTAAAATTATAGATTATATTGATAATACTTGAATATATATATATATAATATTAATATATGTATATAAATGTAAATTATAATATATAGTTTAAAGTCCAATAACTGGAGTACCTTTTGAATAAAGTCTCCTATTACTGGATAATTGATTTCTATTAATTGACTTTTATTAATTGATAAATAACTCTCAGCTTTATTTAATTAACTTTTCTCTTAAGTTTAAGTGTTCGTAGTTCCCCTCCACTCCTACAGCACGGAATATATTGCAGCAATATTACTTTGAGAGATTGCAATATTCCATAAAACATTGCTGCAATATTGTAGAAATATTCTTATGTCCGTAAAAAATAAAATATTGCTGATATACTGTAATGAACATTATGCAATATTTCAATGATTAATCCAGTTTTATTAATTGCTAACATATTGCTTAGCATTACATTCCAAAATATATACAATAAAGTTATGATCAAAAAACATTCGAAGACTTAGAAGGCACACCCAAAACAGGGAATCTTCAAATAGGAGACTCGCAAACTCGTTTTACATACACCTTCTTATAGATTTCCTGTGGACGTTTTATTCTTGCGAGAAGGACGTCCATTTCGTGGCGGGTCCGCGTACTTACCTTTTAAATTATAATATTACAGCAATCTATAATATTTCCTATAAAGTATTAAAATTACGATATTTCACAATATTGTTGTAATATTTCCAATATAACATTTAAATTTCAATATTGCAGCAATATTGCTGCAATATATTTCATGCTGTAGGGGCACTCTTTCAAAATTTAAAAAGTTAATATATATATATAAAGTTATATAATATATCAATTAATACAGTTAGGAAATAACTATACAAAAAAAGGAAATAACTATACAAAACCAAATCAAACATCCAAATTGAAGAAAAAATGTTCATATAGATGAAAACTGATAATATTGTACATATATACATATATTATATACCATAGTATATATGTGTTTGCGTTCTCTCTCTCTCTTTCTCTCTCTCTCTCTCTCTCTCTCTCTCTCTCTCTCTCTCTCTCTCTCTCAAACTTGTATAATCTTCAATAACATGCACAATTGATTTTAAAAAATGATGTTACCTTTAGATCTTTTTCTTTGTAGGGCAAATTGATTACAAAATTCAAATCATATTCCTCCGGTTGTCCAAATCGAGTATTTTTGTAATAACTTCCAGCCCATATAATTCTTTGAAATGTTTTAGCAAACAGCGGACTTTGCGATCGCATAACATCTATTAATTTCTCAAAAATCTGTAGCAAATATTATAATGTACAAGAAATACCAACATAATTTAAGGATATAATTCCAATGAAATAAAAAGATTTTTATGATACCGAGTTCAAGAGCGGATTATTACGCTTCATGTCATCAGGTTGTATACTTATAAATTGTTTACTTATTTTATTGAATACGGTATCATCGGACAGATACCTGCTGATATCTTCAACTTGCGCCATCGTTTATGTGCAATTTGCTGAATTTTCAAAATTTAAAATTATTTTAAAATTATATTTGTTAAAAGTAATACAACAGGATAAAATATAATGTACAATAAATTAAATAAAGCCTTTTAGAGCCAAAACAGGTTATTAATGTGTAAATATATACACTTTATTTAAAAATTAAAACATATAAATGTTCCGATCCTATTTTGGATCCTCTTCAGTATATATAAACTAATAATTAAATCTTACACTAAAAAAACATAACTATTGAAACCGTTATAAGCAAAATACCAAGAAGAACTATATAGTACGCTGAAATTAAGCTAATCAATTATTTTTTACGTCCACATCTTGTCAACAATTGTTCATCAAATTTCAATTAATTAAATAAATGAATAATAATCAAATTATGAATCTGTAGTTAAATTCAATGTTAAATAAAATGTGCACTTACATGAACAATGAGTAGGTCGAACAACGCTTTTTATTGTACCAAACTGTATCAAACTGGTTTATTGCATCATACAATAGATTTGAAATAATAATTAAAATTTCCTAACCGAAACGTTTATATGTTTTAATTTTTAAATAAAGTATATATATTTACACACTAATAACTTGTGTCAGCTCTAAAAGGCTTTATTTAATTTATTGATTTATTCATTAGAGCTTATTCGAATTATTTGATACAATGTACCAATGTATAACTCTCATAAACACAAAAAACAAATTTGTTTATATTTTAAATAAAATTGCGGAAAGTATTATATATATAATTTAGATATAAAAAATAGATTTATAAAAATTAGATTTTAATTAAAATTGAAATACAATTTCAAAATAAAATTGCAGTACTCGCTTTCTGTTTTGCGGAAGCATTCAGGAAAAATTTAAATATTGCAGATATTTAAAAATTTTCTTTCTTTTTTGTAACTGAAACTATAAGATTGTAAGAAACATTTTGCCATAAAATATTTAGATTGTATTACATTAGATAAGTGGGGGACTTGTGTTGAACTCTTTTCATAATACAAATTTTCGAAAAAATTAATCAGTAATTAATTTAATTATGAATGCATGTGCAATTTTATTATTTTTGAGCATTCTCACTCCTTGATGGTGCGCTCCTATACATATTATAGAACTCATTAATATTGTCGTTGTGTGCTATCTTTTCTATGAAAATGCTGATAAAAACTGAATACAATTAATATTTAGAATGCGATAATAATTGATATCAGATTTCTAGTTAGGCATATTTCTTTTCATCCGCTCCCTTTTAATTTATTTTTTATAATTAAAAATAATTTAATTATCTCTCTTAAAATTTATTTTTTTGTTAAAAACACACGCTACTTTTGATACTTTTAGTTAATTTAATTCTTTTATATTAAATTCGACTAACAATTTATGATAATTATATTGCTTGCGATAAAATAATGGGTGAGAGTGAATAGATATCTATAATAATGAATTGTAAAGAATATAATAACTTAAATATTATTTATACTCGTTCTCAAGTTTGCACTTATTGAGATATGGATTAATATTTATAACCTTTTATATGTATAGTCATAAAAAAGGAAACAAAGTAAAAAAGATGCTTTCTGAAATTTTCCTCGATCGTCATCTGCACGATATATCGATGGCTATGAATCTGTAATCGCTTAACTTTGATATTAAATAAGAGATATAGCACATAACAATTGCGAACCTTGGGCTAATTCTTTTACAGGTGTTCCAATTTTTATAAAAAAGGATAGTTCTATCCCACGTACGTAACAACAAATGTCTATATGTATATTTAATTGTTTAATGTATATTTAACACAGTGCATTTACAGAATTTTCGAAAATTTTACAATATCAGTTAGTTTTAAAAATAGATAGCATTTTATAACAAACAATATTTATCATAAATTTTAACCAGTTGTAATGTAAAAGATTCAAATTTATTAAAAGTATTAATCAAGTAGTGCTTAAAAATAACAAATTATTAAATTTTATATGTTAAAAGATATTGTTTTTTTGTTGATTCTATTAGATTGATAAAAAATTTAATTGATTCAACAAATTCTGTACTCTACATCTAAACAAACATATTGTAATTGTTTATCGTATTTGCTGTACTTACCAAACAGAATATGAGGAATATAGGAAACTGCAAATGACAACTGCACGAATTTATAACGATATTCGCAAGGACGATGGACTATGTAATACGTTCTCCAATAATTCAAATTATTAAAATGTCAGAGAGTTGTTATACTTTTTTTATTAATAATTATTTTATTTCACTAATTATTTTCTGCAAAACTATGATACGAATAAAATTTCGACGTCAAGCTGCGTTAAACTGCAATCTACTGTATGCCAGCTAACTTTTCTGCTTTTATATACATAGAGCACTTGAATTAGTCATTATCAGTGAATAAACTTCACGCAGATGGCGTTGTTATAGCAATTTAAGGCCGGAATCAGACTAGGCATTGAAGATTGAGATTGAAGATTGAAAAATTCAAATTTGACCAATCGAAACGAAAGGAGCTAAAATTTCTTTGTCCTTATTGGTCAAATTTCAATCTTCAATCTTCAACCTCAATCTTCAATGGGTAGTCTGATTCCAGCCTAACGTATAATAAAAAGAATTAATTCGAAAATTGATAAAGTGAATAAAATTGAATACATAAAATTCAATGAAATTTGACTTCTCTTAAAAAGACATGTCTTGAAAAGGATATTTCTAAAATGGATCTTAAGTTGTTAAAAAATTTTGTATCATGTACCAACAAAATTATAAAAGATTAAAAAATTTATGTAATATAAATTTTTTTTAAATGTGGTTTTTCTTTTTATAAAAATACAGATTCCTCTATCATAAAAGAAAATATATAATAAAATAATAAGAACAATTGTTTCGAAATTATTCACTATTTAATTTTAATCTTCGATATGTATACTACAAAGAAATTTTTTAACTTTTTTGCTTTATTTTCCCTAATTTCTTTACCTTTTTACAATTTTTTATTTATTTTTTTATCTATTTATTTTCTTCCAAATAAAAAAGTAACAAATGTTTAAGAAAGAATAGCTTGCGTATATAAACGTTGAGGTCTATCTTTTCTTTGTTTTTACTGTTATTTGATACAATCTTTTTTCCATATCTTTGTATTTAATGTTTGTATATATTTTTTTCTTTTTCCAATTACTTTACTGCTATTTTGATAAACTGTCGCTTCATCTTTATCACTGATAGAGACTATATATTATATATTATCTATTTTTATATCGCAAAAATAAACTATCAGTTCTGGGAATTTTTGTTTTTCTGAACTCGGGTAATTTTTTCGAGAATGGTAATCAATTTTCTGCACATCGCCTCACTGATAACAGCCTGATCTTCTAAAACCTTCATCAATCCTTTATACAGTATTTCTGCTTGTTCGTCCAACTGTATTGACATTGGCATGATGATTTCACACGAGTTTTTCTCCTCATCCAGCTTCAGCATCTTGTCTTTTCTCTCGGATTCCTTATATTCGTTTATCATTATTAGAATTTCCTATTTTGTATTTCGTTATATTATTTATATATTTGTATATAGTGTCCATATTATTTATATAAAGTCTCTCATCTTGATCTTTTAATATAATTATGTTCAAAACACATATGCATTATTGGTTGTTCAAAAAAAAAAATATTAAATTAAAATGATTTTGTTCTAAAGAGAGGTTACAACTTATGATGACATAATTTCATTTAGGCACAGTAAATATAAAATGAGCTTACATTACAGATCATTACAGATGATTCGATCTGTTTGTGCACAAGATAAAAATTTAGATTAAAAAATAGAAACTTTGAAATAAATAATTATCTTTTATTTTTTAGTTCAAGTTTTTTTTATCATACTTACGTTGTACTCATGGCATCTGTGTTCATCGCCATGATTTTGAATAGTTTTAGCCAAATATCTAAGATAATCTTGTATATTCGTAAAACCCTTGAAAACATAGTATGGTCTCGAGGATAAGTAGGCTTGCATAATATCGCTGATGCCGAATATCTTTGCTAAAGCCTTCGCTATTTCGGCGACTAGCTGCTCCAAGCACATATGTCCCACGTGCTCAAAGGTCTCCAGAGCTTCTTGACGTACCCAAGGATCCTCGTCTTCTAGTATATGACTGAACAATTCAATCAAAGTAGACGTAACATTTTGGACACTGCAACGACCGAGATTCTCGACATTCTGTCGTAAAAAATGACAGATTTTGATCTTGCCTTGAGGCGGTAGATGGACGCATGAAGTTGTGATAGATGTAAGAACCTAAAATCAAACAAACATATACATAATATTATATTTCAATACTCTTGTAATTTCTGCTGTTACCAAAGAAGTACTTCTATCAACAAATAATTAGATAGATAAAACATATTTGTGTTATACCGTACAAAAGCTGTCATCATGAAGATATTTGAGACAAGTAGCGTCCAACAAGATAACAACTAAATTGGATAGTAGATCCAGTTGTTTATCCTCGCATTCGATAATCGCACTTGCAATGAAATTCCATATTTTAGTTAGAACGTTGATAACATCCCTGTTATCACTGTAATTTACCGCTATCATAACGGACATGATTTGTACCTGAAAATTAATATTTTATCATACAATTTTTAAATAAATTACAATTATATTAATTATAAAATTATATAATTATAAAATTTTTTGTAGCAAAAGCAAGTGAACAAATTTATTGTGATGTATCTAGTATATCGTCTTACAAGCCGTTTCCAATTACAAGTAGAAGGATGAGTATACAAATCTAAGAAAGCTTTCGGCAAATCCTCGATTTTATGCTTTAATCGTTCCGATGAAAGAGATTTGGTTTTTGCCATTAAAAAATATAGGATAGAAGCATAATAATCTGTATCCAGGTTGATAAGGTTATCAAACACAGTGGATTTCATGTCTTCGTTCAGTAAATCGTACAATCTGATGATCATATTATTTAACATAATTGCTTCTATGCTATCATGTCGTTCTATCAAGGCGGCAGAAACTTTAATCAAATGTTTAATATGATCGACGCACAATTGTGAAGAGCCGAGTCTTAAATAAATAATTATATATAAGAAATTAGTATTAAAGTTTGATCGATTTATTTTCACTCAATGAAGTAACTTGTGGCTGCTTACCTGCCAATGAAGCACCAAACATCCGAGCTTAATAGGGAACTCCAAAAATTACCGGACAGTAAATGCTTTAGTAGAAGCAGTTCAAGTGCGTGGAAGCCTTCCGGAGGAATCTGACTAGCCAAATTGCAAACGGATACCAGAGTCGCTTCGTAAATGTTAACGAAACGTATCCGTTCGCCAATCCCGCAAACGCCTGGCAGTCGCAGATCTTCAGCGCAAATTTCTTCTTCAACTACAATTGAGAAAGAGTGAATGAATGAACGATTGGGCCGAATTTAACGTTTACTTCATTAACTGGAACAGTAAGAGAATTAAAGTACAATCAAAGCCCAGCGAGAAATAACTGTCAATTAGATATCGGATCGACATCTAATCGGTTCAATTGACGTCGAAATCATCGAATTGATGTCGATTTGACATTAATTTGATGAGTTATTTCTCGCTAGGAAGTGCAGTTACTACAATTAACGCAATATGCGTAATTAATTGTAGTTTATCTCTCTCTCTCTCACTCTCCTTAAAACTTTAAATTTCTTAATTTTTAAAATAATTAAAAATTTTAATATTTAAAAAATTTTTTTTTTATTAATATTTTTAAAGTCTTTACAATTAGAATTGTTAAAATTTTTATAATTACTTTTCTCTTTCTTTTTCTTACTTACGATAATCTATAAATGTGAAAGCAACGTCCAAAATCGAATCTGAGCCTAAAGACCATTTACAGTGGTGTTCATATGGCATGCCATTTAGTTTCTTCATGATAGCAATTGTCAGTAAATGATAATTTAATCTATGTACATACTGATCACGTGGAACAATTTGCTTTCCGTATTCAAAATATACCTGAAACACAAAGTAATTGTACTTGTATCATTTCGTCGAAAATCAATTTTTGCTTTTTATTGCCAAAGAGAATGTGGAAATAATATAGAAAATAATACATATAATACATAGATGTTTTTCTCTATCTCCCTCTCTCTTTTCAAAATACTTTTATTAGTTATATAGATAGTTCGGCAAATATATAATATAAATGACAAGATAATTCTTCAATTGTTAAATATAGTACATTTACAAATTCGTCACACATTTTGTATAAATTATTTTATATTTTATGCAAATGTATACCACTATTTATAAAGAATTAGAAACGGAATTGTTTATAATAGTGGTAAAATAATTGCATTACATGATTTATCTTATTTCTTTAATGCCTCTTTGTATGTAATCACGTACCTGTTTGAAATCGTTATGATTAAAAATGATACTTAAAAAAGACGTAGCGCCAGCCAAGATTGTTTTTTCGCTACCTTTTGTTAAGCAGCAGTATCTGTAAAAGAAGTAATAATTTCCTGAATGTTTGCTTATATCTCTATAATGCTATAAATAATGTATAACTCTACATGTAATAATTTTACGCAAATAAAAAGAAATTCTTGCAATCGTTAAAGCTGATTTTTATTTCGAAAAATTTATGATTAATGATAAAATTGTTACCCGTGTATTCGTGCCAAAAGTTCTATTAAGTCTGATATCATTTCATGTGTGAGAGAGGCATCGTAAGATGATGTTAATTTCTCGAGGATTCTCAGCAAGCGCATAGCAACCATTACATTTCGTTCTGCGCTTTTATCGTTCTGGTCCTGTATCATTACAATGTACATTTATAATTATTACTAATGTATAAAGATATAAATAATATACATATTTAATTAATTTAATTAATTAGTCTTTAATTATGTAATTAATAAATAACAATAAGTGTATGAATTACGTAGTTCAGTTCAAATACCTTGATGACGGAAAAAAGGCAAGACGTTTCCTTCGTCATTCGAATGAGATATGTCATGATGTTATTTGACTTGATTTCATTCTGATGAACAATGGCCAGCTTAGCAAATGCCTCGGATAACTCAACAAATGTCTTGGTATCCATTCCATTCGCAATAGAAGCGATGTTACCGTAAGCATCGACCACTAAAAAATCAATACAGTTATTAAAGAGAAAAAGATTTATTAAATTAGAGATTACATAAAAATATTACAATGACGTAGAGATTACTATTAAATATGACAATATAGAAGGAAAGAAAAAATTGATGCAGGATAGATCAAGACTTGCAAGAAACTCGCGTTTTGCGCTCAGCGAGAGACTCTTTGCATTTTTGAAATAACACGTTTTTAATTAATTTTTCGCAATTTTTGAGATACTTAATTTGTGAATCTCTGCAAATACTAATATATATATTTTTTTCCTGTCACTGGAGGAAAATCTTTAATAGTGCATACATCCAAGATAAGATTGGAAATAGTTCCTGGGTTAAAAAGTCGTTAGAGCGTAATGGGATCGTTCTCACCTTTCGTCAACAGCTCCGTTTCCGATTGCACGTCCGTGTCGAAGACGATTACGCCGTTCAAAGTGGCAAAGAATAGCTTGAAGACCTCGCTAGCTTTCGCAAACAGATTCTTCAATTCTTGCATCGCACCGCTCAATAGCGCTCCATATTTTGGACTGCACGATTAATAATACTTCTTTATTCTCTGCACTAATATATAAACGACGGTTTGTTCCATAAAAATGACTAATAATTATTTATTCATTAACAAAGGAATATTTTTGATGCTATTAATAAAGAAATATGATAATATATATAAAATATAATAAAGGCCACACAGTACAGACTTTTGCATAACGCATAATAGCGCATAGTACATAGGAAAATCAATCAGAATCCTTTCCCTCCATTTCACGAAAAAAAGGAATTTTGATTGATTGATTCTCTTACGCACTATGCGTTATGCGATATGCAAAAGTTTGTATTGCGGCTTTAATGATTAGATAAAAACAGAACAGTAGTTAGAGATTATGAAAATAAATTAAATAGATTAAATCATAAATAAAAATTATAATTATAATAAAAAAAGTTTAAATTAAACAAAAATATGTGAATGAAATAAAATAATAGTAAAAATAAATAATAATAATTAAAGAAGCCAATTATTGATTAATTTTTATTTATTTATCGAACTTTCACTCGACTAGACGTTTAGTCAGTTTATAATATTGGAGTTCGCAATATGAACGTTCAATTATGTTTCTCTGTGAGAAGTTAAGAATAAGCACATCATTTATCATTCATAAAACGTATCGATATCTGGCAAATACCTGGCTTTGCAATGCTCAAAAATCATTCTTGTCGTTTCTGGTAGAATATTGCATAACGATGCTACATAGGCAGCTTGAACTTTTTCAAGGGCAGAAACGCGTTCCACGCATTTCTTCCAAAAAGCGAGAAGTCCATCGCAAATTTGCAATTTATACTTGATGCCATCCAAATCATCGAGTCCCGTATTATCGTCTATTATTATGTCATCTATGGCTTTTATGACCTTTGAACCATCACAAAAAAAAACAAAAATATTTCAACGTTAAAATTAAGGCAATAAATATTGTATCTAATTGATCTACGAGACAATTTATACTTCGGGTATGAGATAATCGCATGAAAAATCTAATAATCTTTGGTGGTAGGACTATAAATCCTATATATAATAATAAGCAGAGTAAAAATTTAAATAGCAGAAGAATAATTATAATAATTTTAAATTAGAGATGTCGAAAGAAAGCTTTGGAAATTTTTCAAAAAATTATTTGGAAGAAGAAGAAAAATGTAGTTGAAAATATTGGAGATCATGAAGAAGTAAATATTATAAGATCTTAAAATCGTTTCTTATGCATTCAGATAAAATATACATGTATTAGAAATTTCTAAATAAGGTATAGAATTTTATAAAATTACCTGCGACAGAAAGTACTGAGCTTCCGACAAAACTTTTCTAAAAATTTTCTCGTCGAGCAACTCAATTGGACACATGGAAAAACATTGCTCTAGCCTTTGCAGTAAGCATTCTGTATCGAGATTAAGACTTTCATCTTCCAGTAAAGCGTATTCCGAAAATGTTAATTAAGGATTGATCAATTCGATAAACATTATTCAAAAGACAACTGTGTTAAAAACATTTAAAAAATACCGATTGTACACTATTATTTTGAAAAGAATACGATGCTGAAAGAACTTTCTTTTCAATGACATTATTGAATTCTTTAAAATGGAAAGATACATATATTTTCATTTCTTATATGTTTAATAGTCGGTATCAGAATAAATCTATCATGTAAAATCTTTAAGCATCATATTCTTCTTGAAAACATACAAATTAATTTATTAATATCCTTTCGTATTTTCAAATTTGAGATAATTGTTTAGATTCAATCTTCAATTTCTTATATATGTAGTTATATCTCATTATTTGTATTAAAGGATATTTGCAATTTGGACACTTCGCTGTCGAGATCGAGTGGCTCGAAGAAGGAATCAGAAAGATCAGATGACGCATTCCAGTCCATATCTGTAATATAACGATATACCTATATGTAGCTTATCTTTTTTCTGTCCTAGAAATTAGCAAAAGATCAGAAAATTATTAATAACGTTTTACGTCAATAACTCTCTTCTAATCTCACAGATTGAGATATATTATTTTTAATCAGTTCACAAAAAATCAAATACTTAATTTTTAATAGAATAGAATTTATTACACTTCAGCATTTACATAACCAAGAAGAGGACTTAGTTTACAATAAATTCTTACCTCATTCATCCTTCCATACTTCATACGCGCTCTTATTTATCTATTTTACTATTTTACTATTTACTTTCTATTTCTACCTTTATCTTTAGCATTGTCGCTTTCCGATTATGACATATTTATCACCTTACACCTAACTAAGTCAGTCTTATATTATCTTACTATGTTTTTGTACTACTTATTCTATTTTCTATAACCTATGCCCTATACTTAATTTTTAATATAATTCAATAAATCGATTTATGTGAAGAGAAAGTTTATTCAGGAAACAATTGAAACATTATTGCTAGTTAAATAAACAATTATATGCTACTTAAATTAAGAAAGGTACACTGTATACAATATTGAAAAGAGATACACTGTATACAATAGATTTACAACACAATTTACTGAAATTAATTAGTAGAAAGGTACAGCAGATATAAAATACACTGATAACTTAAACTATTCGCTAATAGCGTATTTTCGCAACAGTTTCAAATGGAGATCGATCAACTGGGAGTGTAATCAGACCTTCTAACCCTCCCTCTTCTGTCCGCTATCAATCTTGAATAATAGGTAGAAACGGGGCAAATCGAAAATTTCTTGGCAATGCTCGAGGTTGCCAAAGTTTGCTGATAAGGACGTCAATTAAGGCAGCGCCAAGCTCTAATCGTCGATTTACCAAAAGTTTCCAGCTGTAATTTCTGCGCCATCGCCGGCAAGCGAAATTGTAACCCACTTCTCGAAAGGATTTAACCGATCAAATCGATACGTCAAGTCGATTTTTCGAAACTTTCTCTAAATATTTTAATTGTCATTGTTCCTATACATTTGATGGATTATAATTTATGTTTTAGATAACACGAAGAAATAATCAAATAATGAGTCAAGTTATAGAAATAAAAGTTGTACGGTTAATATTAGGTGTAAAAAAAAGAATCAAAATAAGAGAAGATTACGAAATTAAAATAAATGAAAAGAAGAGAAAGAAGAATGTAACAATGAAATGTAAAGCCAAGGGAAGATCAGTGTATATTTGCAAAAACTGAAGCGCAAGAAAAAAGGTATCCTAGGCGAGAGGAAACGAGTTCAAAATTAGTTCTCTTCGTCAACGGGGCAAGGCCAAACAAATATGAAGAATCCTAGTCAGAGGAAAAGGAAAAAGGGAGGAAGAGAAGAAGACAAATAAAGCGGTCGCGGGAATAAACGAGCGAGAAAAGAAGTCGATCCGCGCCAGGAATTGGAATGATCGAGCTGTTGGACTTGCCATGGCAACTGCGGACAACAAGCTGTCAGATGATGGGCAAAGTTTTGATCAATAATACCGACAGTGACTGGTTGCCTGCCGGCAGTTCTCGAGTTCGATATACGGAGTCGCGCAAACAGTGATTTTGACTCCAAACAGTCCAAACAACAGCACGTGGCTGCCGAGTTGTAGTAAGGACAGAGGGTGGCGAAAGGATTAAGAGAGGGTGGTTCCGACACGGAGCGGCGAGCGACGTGTACCAGGCTGAGTCACGGAGGATGGATTTGAGCGATGCGATTTTCGATCGAGAGATGCTAATTCTCGTCCCTGAATTACAAACTCGAGACTCGAGCCGCCAGTCGGCTTAGGACTTAGGAGTGGCACTGACTATACTGATTGCGATGTCGACGTTTCAATATGACTATTTCTTGAAAGAGTCTGACCTATTAAATTCGTACGAATATTTTACTATGCTTGAAATGAAAAAAGAAGTAGCGCATTGAAACAAAGATTAACGTTTGTTATATAAATAAAAGAATTTTTATTTCTATCGAAAAAAAAATTACAGAAAAGACTCCTGGACATTTTTAAGCAAAAAATATTATTTAATAATTGTAACAACTGAAAATACCCCCTACATTAGAAAGAATAATATTAAAAATGATAATAAATAGTTTTTAGCGCTGTTTTCTTAAAATAATTAAAAAACAACGATTTGAAAATATGTTAGAAAAAGTTACAGAAAAAAAGATCTTTCTGTTTCAATTGGCGAAATGGCAAGAAGGTAATTAGATCAATTCTTCGAATAGTTTCTCTATTTTCTATTTTTATTTCAATATCATGCGAAAATATATAAGAAAGTAATTATTCGAAAGAACAAATGTTACATGATCAACACAGAGAGAGAACTTCTCTTTTCTTTTTAAAAAAGAATCATCTTCTCTCTTTCTAAATTAAAAAAATTTTTAAATCATTTACGCCTTTTTAAATAATAGATTGACTTCAATACTAATAATGAGAAATTCTGCTAGAAAATTAATTTAAATTTATAATAAATATAATAAAAAATTTTACTTCTTCGCACGATAGCTGTCTCTTCAAAATGAGTAATTTCCGTACCAAAAACAAAACGAAAATATTTCAGACGTACAAATTGAGGAAATATCACGTATATATAATATCGCGATGTTACGTCACCGTGGCCTCGAGGGCAACGTATACGAAGTGAGCGAGGAGTTCGACTACCCTGGTAGCGCTGACAGTGATCGTAATAACGGAGGTTAATGGTACCAGTACAACTATAGTGCACGTGTGTTGGCTTCTGTTCAAGGAACACGAAGGGAAGGAAAGAGAAAGCGAGAAAGAAAGAGTCAATACACTTGTAGTCGATAAGCGTGTTGGTAAACCGGGCTTGGACTTGGTACACACCGAAGTTTGGTGGAGGGCAATGGATGAGGGTAGTCAGTCAGTCGGCGCCCGGTCGTGGCGTCGACAACATACTTCGGTGGAATCTTTGCTCGAGAATTGAAAAAACTTAAATATTATATTCATAAAAAAGATCCTTTCCCTTAACTCGACCTGTGCTATCATCAAGAGGTTGCTGCCTCGTCAATGAACGAATGAATAAATAAGCTCTACCAGAGGAGTTCTGGAAATCGTCGAGAAGACGCATCGACAATGCAAGGACAATTACCCGGGGATGTCTAGCGGTAGAAAAGCGACGCGACCCGTCAGGCAGCTGTCGTTACAGCAGCCCGTACCGCGTCGACAGCACATCAGACGACAGAGATCGGCGGAGGACGATTGCAGCAAGTCTTTACAGATCTATGCAAATCCGATTGCGCGTGGAAGATTAGGGGCGAATGCGACGGAGAAGCCCAAGGTGCGGCAGTTGAGAAAACTTGCTTCTTAATCGCTGTTTCTTTTATCATTGTCTTTTTTTCACACATATAGAGCTTGTATTTTTATTCAACAATCGAGGACTCGGTTTTACGTTATGTCGTATTGATTTTTAATGTCTCTCTCAGTGCATAATCTTAATAAATACACAGAAAGAACGGTTTTGCTAAAGTATCTAAAAATTTAACTAGATACAGATCTGAATATAATTTTATTGGCTCTTCAAATTAATTATCTAGGCTAGAGGACATTTAACCATAATAATGCTGAAAAGTTTTGACGTTCTAACAACCAATTTATAAGTGTCTTATATAATTATTTTGATGAGTCAACAAAATTATTTTTAATAAAAAAATACAAAATTATATAAATCTAGCTAAATTTTTAGATGCTTCAGCAAAACCATTCTTTTCGTATTTTATATTGTATATAATCATGTTATATCGTACAATTGACAGGTGCGAGTTGCTTGGGGCGATGATCGTCATGGCTGCGACAATCTGGCCGAGGTGGAAGTGGTGGCTCGACAGATCCCGAGTCGATCTAGACCGACCACAGGTCGATCTGGAAGGACTTATGCCACTACGGAGAAGGCGTCGATCCTTTATTCACGGCAAGAACTTGCCGAGAGGCTGCGACTCGCGTGGAAACACCGAGAGCAGAACAAAGCAAACATTGACATTTTCCTGGCACATGGCATGGCAGTGGAGGAACGCTGCGATTCCCAACTATCAATGTCCATTCCGTCAACCCCTCTTTCCAGGAAACCTAACACTATTCAGGATGAAGGAAAGAGTCAGCAGAATCTAATAGCGCCAAGCAACTTGAGAGATCAAGAGAAGGAAACGCATGAAGATCATGATAAAGGAGATGAAAGATTATGCGAGACGAAGCTGGAATCTGCATTTCGATTGATTGAGAATAATTTGTTGACGAAAGGAGATGAGAAAACAGCGGAAACCATGGAAAAGGAAGGAAGGGATAACGAGGTATACATTTATGCATTAAATTTAAATAAATATTTATTTGAAAAATAGCTGAATATTTATTTAAAATGTGGAAATATATATATTTATTTGGTACAAAAACCATTTATTTAACATTCATTTTTTTATTAAAAAAATTTATTTATTTTAAATAAATGTTAGGCCAGTACCTATTAAA